ATGTTTTTACTATACCCATGTATTCTGTGGGTCGGAAATTCAGAAAGGAGGGCTTACCTCTGAACCACCGTACGGACTCAGCTGGGAAGACCTAACTCCCGGGGGTTACACACCACAGGAGGCTGGATCCCCTGAGGTTCACTTGCTCATGGAGCTGGTGGTCAATACTGGCTGCTTGCTGGGACCTCAGCTAGGGCAGCAAACTGGAACTCTGGCACTTTGCCGTTCCATGCAGCCATGTGGGCTTACAGTCAGGGGCCTAGGGTTCAGGAGCAAACATCTGGAGAGAGCCAGACAGGGCGCAGTAGCACTATGCATTCCGTATCCTCAATGCCAGTGTGGTCCTACATCTGCCTGATTTCAAGGAGAGGGACAAGACCCTGCCGTCAATGGGAGAGGTGTCAGGATCACTTTGTAAAACTAATAGGAAATGCGTTGTAGCCATCTCCAGAAAAATACAATTGCTCAGTCAACCCTCTGGCCACAGTACTTCACATGCCCCTCCCCTGCAAAACACGCATTTCTTCCTCCAAACCCACCAAGTCTTATCCCACCATGACATCAGTTCAAGTTATTTAAATCAGCTCCAAGTGTGTGTGAGTTTCTCCAGTACAGTTATTTGAGCTCCATTCCTCCACCTAAACACCAGCAAACCAAGGTAACTGACCCCGCGTACCCACCCATCTGGTGGCTGAACACGCCCTCAGGGGATGCTCAGGGAAACAGAGGCACACAGCAACCTCAGTTTCACGTGTCATTCTGAACCCTGTCTGGCCCTTGTCGCCTGTTTCTGATTAAGGCTCAGGTCTGCTGCTGTTCTCTGGCTCTTACTCGCCCCCTGGGTTCTGGGCCCTGCCCTCTGAGTCATCATTCCTGTGCAGTAAGAGTGCCCTGAGTTTCCCAGAGGCTGGTTTATAGTGGAGGAGTCCAGAGGTCTCCCTCAATGGTACGATCTCTGTCCCTTTCAGTGAAAGCTGGTACTTTACTTTTAAAAACTGGGTGAACTTTTCAGTCTCAATTTATAATATATTCTATTAGACAAAAAGCTGCAGCCCAAAACCTTGAGGTGGGTGTTCCCCGTCTTTGGCTCCCTGTGAGACCGCACAGGGCAATACCCTTAAGGTTTTCACAAGTCCTATTGTCAGAGAGGGAGGCCAGGGTCTCCCAGCCTCTCTGCGGTGAGAACAGTGATCTCAGATGAGCACTGAGGTGGGAAGCCCAGCCTGACGCTGCCACTCAACAACGTCAAAAGCCTTGTGGAGGGCTGGACGTGGCCCCTCTGCTGGCAGAAGCCCAAGTCAAGCTGCTCTGAAGGGAGGTTTCACCCAGGGGGACTCAAGCAGTGAACCAATAAAGACAACCAGCCACAAGAACTGGAAGCTCTGGTGACAATGGATTCGGACACCTGAGAACTGCACATGCTGGGAGGGTGAGATGAGGAAAATGGAATCGTCCTGAACTGTCCAATGATGTATGAGCTGCAAGCAAAAAAGACGAGCCTATCAAAATGTAAACCATCATGGTGAGCAAGCTTGCTCCGTCACTCCCCAATCGGTTGTTAACTAGAAACAGGAGCCGGAGAGGTAGCTCTAAAGGGAGAAACCAATATGGTGGACACCAGCTTCACACACCATCTAAGTCGGCAGCACTGGTATGGGGACTGGAGTGCTGGGCGTCCCTGAGCAGCACTGAGAAAGACATGTGTCACACAGCCAGAATTCCTGCCTGGAACAGTGCTTCAGGATCTGTGCAAACAGATGAATCCAAATTAAGGAACATCGTACAAAACAATTTGGCATGAACTTTTCAAAAATATCAAGATGATAAGATGATTTTTAAAAAGAGGGGCTCAGGGACTGGGGTTGTGGCTCAGTGGTAGAGCGCTTGCCTAGCATGTGTGAGGCCCTGGGTTCATATGAATAAAAAACAAAGTGAAAAAAAAATCCATTGGCAACTAAAATATATTTAAAAAATAAATACAAAGAGGGGCTCAGGAACTTTTCTAGATTTAAAGAAACTAAATAAACAGGACAGTTAACAGAATGAGTGATTCTTGATTCTATGATTCTATCCTGGATGGGAAAAATTAGGAAAAAAAAATTTTTTAAGTATTGGGACAATTAGAGACCTTTGAATTTTGTCTGTATACTGATTATGTTATGCCTTCAGTGAACGTATTGTTGTGACATCAGGGGATGTTCTTGTCCTTTGAAGCATGTGTAAAGATATTTAGGGTCACAGTAACTGAATTCTGTGTGAAATAAAATCTTAAATGACTCTACAAAAACTACCGTGTGAACATGCAAGTGTCTGGAGCAAAAGAGAAAAAGCAAACACGGCAAATGTCAACAGCCGGAAAACCCAAATGAAGGGGAGGCGGACATTCGCTGCGTGTCATTCTTGCAACTAAACTCTTGCATGGGTTTGAGTTTCTTTTTAATGTTTATTTTTTAGTTGTAGTTGGACACAATGCCTTTATTTATTTATTTATTTGTTTATTTATATGTGATTCTGAGGATCGAACCTAGGGCCTCGCACGTGCTAGGCTATCGCTCTACCACTGAGCCCCAGCCCCAGCCCAGGTTTGAATTTTTAAAAAAATAAAATTGGGGGTAAAATATTAACTGTTGAGGGCCACAGCCGAGTCCAGATGGGACGCATGGCATTTTTGCCAGATGTAGTGGTTGAGAGGTGACGCCAGCGAGCCATGAAGATGATGACTTTTGAGTTCTGGCGGAGTTCCCGTTGAGTTCGCTTGAGCTCTCGCGGGGGTTCCCGGAGAGTTCCCATTGGTTGGGGAAGTGCCGGAGGATGGATGTTTCCGGCTGCTGGTTCCTGGAGGAGCCAGTTTTAAAACATGGGGTTTGGGGGAGTTCCCGGGGATCGTGTGTGGAGCGTGCTGGTGGAGTTCAGAAATAAAGTTTGTTCCTGCTTCGGTGGCTCGTGATTTGTGCCCAGCCAGACTGCGGCAATTAACTGCAAAGGAAAAGTAGAGTGAGCCATGTGGGTTATTAGCACCAGCAATCCCACACCAAGTAGGGCTACTCCTCTTTACAGGACAAGGCAAAGCTTGCATTGTCTCTCTAGGCAAGGGACAGTGAAAGGAAGTAAGTCTCTGAAGGTCACAAAGAAGAGTGTTAAAGTGTTTCTGGGCAGAAGGCAGAGAGCCAGAGCTCCCGGAGTCCATCGCCTTTTCTCACTTGTGAAAAGCCCCCTACCTTGACCAAGCAGCAAGATTCAAATGCAGGATCTGCTCCCCATGTTTACCACTAGTGAATCTGTTCTACAAGTTAAAATGTGAGCTGAGGAAGAGAACACGCAAACAAAAAGAATCAGGGTGCTGGGGCGCTGGCCTGGCTGATGTCCACTGGCATGTTCCCGAGTTCCTTTGATGTTTTGAAACTGGCTGTGAAAAGGAGATTGGCACCACTGGATGACAGCCCTCGGCCCCAAGGTAGAGGGTCCCGGGCGGCACACATCTCAGACTTCAGTGTCTCTCAGGTACTCATTGTCCTTTCGGTTTGTCAACCGGCTGTCACCATCTTCTGCAAAACCCAGCAGACTGGCACCTCTGGGCTCCTGGTCAGTCCATTGAACCTGATTGGATGCCTGTGGCAAGTCACACTGACTTGAAGCATGAGGGTCAACTGGGGAGGTGGTCTGAGATGGACCACTATGGAGCCCAGAGTGCTCAGGGCTCCAGCTCTGTTGGCTTAAAAAGGTAATGAATCTCTGCTCTTGTGGCCTTGAGGAGAGACGGGATGACGAGAGACAGGATATTCTCTTCTTCCTCTAGTAAACCAAACACAACCCAATGAGGCCTCCCAGTCTCAAGGCTCGGGTGGAGCTCCTCTCCCTGTGTTTCTTGGATGAAGGTGACCTCCTTCGAGTTCTGCTTTTGCAGCTCATTGCGTATGTGCGACTTTATGTGTAATACACCAAATCACACTTTTAGAAAGATGTGTTAGGTTTTCTGTTAGCCTAAAATGGCTTATTCTGGAAGAGACGCCCACTGCGTTAGGAAGCAGAGTCTGGTCTATCCTGATACTTTGAAACTCCAAGGCTTGTCGGAAGCAGGTTGTACACCACAGCAGGAGGCCTGGAATGTGCAAGGACCCCCAAAAGAAACTGGATCACAGGGAGAGCAAAGGTCCAGCAAGTGTTCCCAGGGGAGTCCAAGAGCTGAGTGGGTAGAGAAACCCCCGACTGCTGGAGATGAGGGTTTCGTGCACCAACAGAGATACACAGGCGGAGACAGCAGCTCTCTCTCCTCCTCTTAAGAAGAAAAGTTAGGCACAGGAACGACAGAAGAGCACGGCCGGTTCTACTCATCTCATCCCTTTGGTAGCATGGGAACAAAAAGCAAGTGACTGCCACCATCATGAAGGGACTTGAGCACCCACCGAGCTCGGCAACCAGATGCTTGGAGGTCAGTTGGTATCTCTTCCCCAAGTCAGAGCCGGAGGAAAAATAAATCAAAGTGATCTTTCTCATCCCCTATTAATTCTGAAACCAATTTAACTTTCGTCTCCTACAGTGTGTTAGGAAGGCTTGGAGATGCAAACGTAACTAACCCACAGCGCCTGCTCTCAGGTTACTTGTAGAAGAGTGGACACGAGCCTACTTGGATCCAACAGAGTCCACAGAAAAGGAGAGGACAAGCCAGGAAGAGAGGGCAAATCATGAGGAGCGTCCCAGGGAGTATGGTAGGAAGAGAGGGTCCCTTCAGGGGGCCAGAGAAGGGAACTCTCTTCCACAGAGGCAGAAGGAAAAGAAGTGGAGAATTTTTGCTGTGCAATTTACAACAAGATGACTAACATCACACTTCTGAGATTGTACTGGAACTGCCTTAACCCATGATGGATTTATCACCAGTATAATCTCAGAAGCTTCCAAATGGACAACATACATTAAGGAAGAAGTAGAGGAAATATTTAAGAATCATTAGAATAAGATGTGTAGAGATAATATTTAATTATCGCTAAATAACATGTGTCATTCTCTCTAGATATACTTTTCTTAAATCTGGTGATTTAATATTTCTAATTACATTTTAAAATAAAAATTCCAATTATTTTAATGTTTAGCAAAACAAGCCAGGTACAAAAAAGGTAAATACTGAATGATCTCACTTATGCATGAAATCTAAAATGTCTAATTCATAGAAACAGAGTAAAATGGTGGTTACCAGAAGCAGGAGATTGGTGGGAGAGAGAGAGATTGATCAAAGAATGCGAAATTTCAGTTAGGAGGAATACATTCAAGAGTCCTTTGTACCTCAAGTTGACTGTGATTAATGACAACACACTGTATACTTGAAAATTGCTAACAGTAAGTTTCAAGTGTTCTTAAAATACTTAACACACACACACACACACACACACACACAGAGCTTCCAAATGGACAACTTACATTAAGGAAAAAGTAGAAGAAATATTTTTTAATTAATTAATTAATTTATTTTAATTAGGTGTATATGACAACAGAATGCATTTTGATTCATTGTACACAATTGCAGCACAACTTTTCTTTTCTCTGGTTGTACATGATGTAGCATTGCACCATATGGGCAGTCATCCATGTACACAGGATAATGACGTCCGTTTCATTCCACCATCTTTCCTGCTCCCATGCACCTTCCCCTCTCCACCCTCCCCTCTGCCCAATCCAAAGTTCCTCCATTGTCCCATAACAGCTTCTCTCATTTATAGATTAGTATCCACTAATCAGAGAAAACATTCTTCGGCCTTTGGTTTTTGGGGATTGGCTTACTTTGCTTAGCATGATATTCTCCAACTCCATCCATTTACCTGCAAATGCCATGATTTTATTCTCTTTTAATGCTGAGTAATATTCCATTGTGTATATATACCACAGTTTCTTTATCCGCTCATCTATTGAAGAGCATCTAGGTTGCTTCCACAGTTTAGCTATTGTGAATTGAGCTGCTATAAACATTGATGTGGCTGCATTACTATAGTATACTGATTTTAAGCCCTTTAGGTATAAACTAAAGAGTGAGATAGCTGGATCAAATGGTGGGTCCATTCCAAGTTTTCTAAGGAATCTCCATACTGCTTTCCAGATTAGTTGTACCAATTTGCAGACCCACCAGCAATGCATGAGTGTGCTTTTGCCACCACATCCTTGCCAATATTTATTGTTGTCTGTCTTCATAATAGCTGCCATTCTGACTGGCGTGAGATGAAATCTTAAAGTAGTTTTGATTTGCACTTCTCTAATTACTAGAGATGTTGAACATGTTTTCATATATTTGTTGATTGAACACGTATCTTCTTCTAGTAGAGGAAATATTTAAGAATCATTAGAAAAAGATGTGTAGAGAAAATATTTAATGTACTTCACATACACACAGGTATGTGAAGTAAGGCATCTGTTGATTAGCTTGATTTAGCTATTTCACAGTTTATACACATATCAAAGCATTATGTTGTATACCACAACTATATAATTTTTACTTGTCATTTAAAAATTAATAAAAAATCAGAATTTTTTTTAAAAGCCATGGTTTATGGAACAGTCTAAGAGCAAAGAGCTACTTTTCATTCCCAAAACATAAACACTGATGTAAAACCTGGAGCACGAACTAAGGCAATACAAACGTCTGGGTCACGAGCTGCCTGTCCCTGTATTTACTAGTTTAACCACTGATTTCAATCTGACCTTCTCCCAGGCTGGAGCGGGATGTCCTGCAAGCCTGCTGGACACTTGGGCTAGAGCACGACAGAGCCTGTGACAGCAGGGCCCTGGAGTCAGAGGGCAGCACCCCGATGGTCTCACCAGCCAGGAAGACGGGACACCTGGCCACTAGCTTTGCCTCCCATTTCTCATCCCTTTGACTTGCTTTTTTCCCCCGAATGCTGACTACTTCAGCAATTTCCTGTCCCTTCCAAGTGTCACACAGAGTCTTCATTGTTTCTCATCTATTAATGTTTAACAAATTCAACTTGAATTTCAGCCTATGTGCAACCACCCACCCCAATTTTTTTTTCATGTGGTACTGAGGATTAAAGCCAGCAGTATTCTACCACTGAGCTAATTCCTTAGCCTCCCTTTTTTATTACTTTTACTTTTATTCCGTGCTAGGTTATCCAGGTGGGCCTCAAAGTTGTGATCATCCTACCGCAGCCACCCTAGTCGCCGGGAGTCCAGGCTTGTGCCACCGTATCCGGATTCTCCACACAAACTTCTAAAAGGGAGTTACAGAACAGATTCCCAATGAGAGCTCCTCTTCTCAGATTCTCTGGATATGAGGACAGCATAACAAAGAAATCAGTGGGTGTTTCGTGGACAGCTCTGGCCACCCAACTTCTCCTTTGGCACTTGGTGTCTAGTCAGGACATTCTCCACTACTGAGCAGGACAGATTTCAAAAAGCTGTTCATAAATCCATTTGTTCAAAAGTGAGGCTAACCAAGTAAAATGTGCATGGACAGACCAGCACACCATGGGCTGTCGCTTGGAGCCAGCTTCCTGGGTTCAATCCCAGCTCTGCCACTTTACCTGTGACCCGGCTACCTGACCTCTCTGTGCCTCAATCTCATCTCCCTTTTGTGAAAACTTAAATTATCATACATTTAGAACAGCACCTGGCACGCAAAAGGGTTCAATAACTCTCGACACTATTAGCTCTGTGAGAACTTCCATTTCCCCAAAGAGCTGTTACATAGGAATGGCATCAGTTCTAACTCTCTTAAAAATATGTTTCAATGTTGTTTCCTTATTTCCACCACATTTAATAATAAGAGCATAAGTCTTAGAAACTACGGACATTTTCATAAACCTAAATTAGAATCTTGATATACGAATAATGAAAATACCTTTCAATTTTTTTTGTAGTAGTAGATGGACAGAATGCCTTTATTTTATTTGGTTTTTATTTTTTTGTGTGGTGCTGAGGATTGAACCCAGCACCTCACGCATGCCAGGCAAGCACTCTGCCACTGGGTCCCAGCCCCAGCCCCTGAAAATATCTTTTCTATAAAATGGAATAGGTATCATGGAGCTTTTTTTAAGCTTGTTCTTTTCCTCTTGTTTGCTTTAAAAAAAAAAAAAAGCAAGACCCCCCCAAAACACAACTTTGACTATGAATAATGGCAAAGCTAGCTGCAGTGGCCACAGGTGACTGCTCACACCGCCTGTTTGTTGGAGGGCAGAGATGACGCATTTAAACCCTGGTGCATGGTACTGTACTGCTTGAAAATACATAAAATAAAACAGATGTTCCTCTTTTTTAAAAAAGTACATTTACTCTATAAGGCCAAAGGAGTGCTTGGCAAATAAACAGGTGGCCAATGAACGGCTGTTGGGTGAGCAAAGGCCAAGTGCTTTGGTCAACACTCTCTATATATTATCTGCAATATTTAAACAACCCCAAAATGATAATACTAGTACCTGCCCTCCATAGATAAGGAAACTGGCTCCAACCGGCTGGATGAGCCGCCCAAGAGGCAGAGCTTGACCAGAAGCTGGACATCCAGTTCTCAAGCCTGCTATCCCAGAACACACAGCCAGGGCTCTGGAACTCTGGGGTGATGTGCTGACCCCAGGGGGCAGGCCGAGGTCAGGGGGCAGAAGTGCTCTCTTACCACCCAGTGACACACCAGGACCTCTGCCCGCCTGGAGTGAAGCAGCAGCCCAAGCCCTCACCTCTGACTGGAGTGAGAGGAAGAACCGTCCACTGGCCTATCTGAGATGGCTCTGAGGTCAGCTGGGGAGGGAGTCCAGCCAAGGGCCACTGACACTGGGGCCAGGACCGTGTCAGTAGTAATCGGTGTTTTCATTTTCCTGCGGAGTTTTAAAAATCAATTCTCTTTTAAATGTTTCAGGCCATTCAGCAAGGTGTAAAGTGTCCTCTAACCCCACCACATGGGGTTAATACTGTGCTGTGTATCCTTTCAGTTTTTCCTGGGTGATAGTGTGACATTTGTTTAACGCACAGAGCAGAGCCCCTTCTGAAAGCCCCAGCACGTGCCCCACAGATCTGTCTCTGTCCTAATGTAAACCCACACCAGGTGCTTGCAGCCTTGATGTCCATTTGTGAAATGAGAACAGGGTCAGCACCATCCATCACCTGTGTCTTAGCACAAATTAGGCGTTTGTGTTTAAAACAAAATGACCTCTCCTTTGGGCTTTGGGGGTTATTCTCTATTTCAAAATTAGAGTTCACAATTCTTTCTACAGTTCTCCCTGCTAACATCTACACAGAAGCTATAAAAAGTGAAGACAAACTATGAATATTTATAATTATTTAAAACGCCCTTTTACATACTCACTTGCAAACACCCAAGCTCTTGGCTTGTTAAAGGCACGCTGACGCATGTCTGAAGCAAAATTGTGGCTGCTGGAGATCCACGCGGGGCTTGATTTTAGAGCTAGGGCTTCCTACAATATCCAGTACATACCAAACCAATCTTTGGATAAATGAAATAAGGAATTACAAGTGTTTTAACCTTGTTGAAGTAAACATCTTGTTGTTTTCCTCTACTGTCCTTGTTAATCACTGTGTAATTAGCGACAGGTGGTGCTCATGAGTGTCCTGGCATGCCCAGGGGAGGCGGGGAAACTCTGCTGAGGAGGCCAGACCAGCCTGGGCACCAGGCCGCTTGGCAGGAAGCACGGGGCAAACCAGAGGCCGGCAACTGACCTGCTGGAGGCAGAGCACTCAGGATCCCAGTTCTGGTTCCAGAAGCCACGGCTAACTAGCATGGAACTTGAAGTTGGCATGAAGTAGGGAGAGTCACAGCACCACTGCGGGGTGGTGGTGGGCATTGAGTGGACCCACTCTGAAAGTACTGGGTGAGGCCCGTGTTCGCAGATGTTGGGCGCCATGGTAGTGCACTGAGTTTCCTCACTTGGTTGCCATTGTGTGCAGGGAACACAAAGAGAAGGTTCCTTCCAACCGCTGGGCATCCTCAAACACTGGGCTGGGCTCTTCATTTACACTGCGCTGTTTAACCCTTACAACATCTTGGTGAGGGAGGTGGTCTCAGCCCCGTTCTCCAGATAAGAAAACTGGGACTCAAATGATTTTTGTTCAATATCACAGCATTTAGAAAGTCCTCGCTTTAGGGGCAAGAAAGTGGAAGGACGTCGGCCAAAATTCATTGTCCTAAAATTGTGAACATGCACAAATCTATAACAACAAATCCCACCATTATGTGCAACTATAAAGAACCCATAAAAATGTGTGGGGGAAAAAAGTCCTCTCTCTGGAGAAAAAGGAACTGTCTTAGCCAAGCTGCTATAACAGATTTTTGCAGCCTGGATGGTTTATGAACAGCATAAATTTATTCTCAGTTTTGGAGACTGGAAAGCATAAGATTAAGGCTCAGAACTCTCTGGGTCCTTTAATAAGGGCACTGTGTAGTCCTGAGGCCTCCCCTGATGGTCAAGTCATCTCCCAGAGGTCCCACTGCTGAATACCATCTCAGAGTGGGTTGTTCTAGGCAGGAGCGGGGGAGGTGAACATGCTCTCTTCAGAAGGTGTGCTACAGGTGTTAGGTGCCTCGCCAGCTGTGTGCTAACCCAGTCTGACACACGTACGCCAAGTGAACTCTAAATACTTATGATACCCAGTGTTGGAGAGGATGTGCTTGAAACCACTCCCATTCAATTGGTAATAGCTATGAAAAACAGGTCTGTGTAATGCCTTTTACCCTAGAGCATTAATGGTAGGCACTTACCCTACATGTCTTTGTGGACAAATATGTCAAGATAAAAAGACCCTGATATTCTCTCCAATGTTGTTTATAATACCAAATGTAATGCCAACATAAAAGTCTGCCAGTTGGGAGCTAAGCAAGTTGTGCTGCATCAATAATGAGCTGTTGGGGCTGGGTTGGGGCTCAGTGGCAGAGTGCTTGCCTACCATGTATGAGGCACTGGGTTCAATTCTCAGCACCACATATAAATGAATAAAACAAAGGCCCATTGACAACTAAAAAAATAAATAATAATAATAATATTATGAGATGTGATGCGGCCTTTAAAGGAAAGAGGAAGCTAGACAGGAAACGGTGCCCAAGATCGACATCTGTGTGCAATGGTAATTTTCTGTCAAGGATCAGAAATTCCTGATGGGCAGAGGCAAGCAACGGTGGCTTCTGAGAGAAAAGGAGATCAGGTCTGTGTCAGATGAAAAGTGGAATTGTTCGGCTGGGCTGAGAAGAGGAAGGACCTCCAGATGACGTCACCACCCACTGGGGACTGACACTGTGCAGTGGAAAGACCCCTGCCCTCTAGTGTCCAGTGGGGGAGGGAGGTGCCCAGAGCTCTCTCTCTCTCACACACACACACACACAGGCCCCAGCTTGACAGTGAAGAGGGACATTCCCCATGAGAACACAAAGCAGCCTTGGGGAGAGAGCCCCAGGTCTCAGGTTCCCACCTCTGGCTCTGGCTAAGGAACACGATGTCGTTTCATTGAATCTGACCAATTAGGAATGTTGGGCTGAACAGGAGAGAGCTGGCCCAGCAGATCAGGTTCAGTCCGGATCAGTTCTGCTTTCTTTCTTAGAGATAAGTTTCTCAAGGACCTGGGCTCAAAAATTACCTGGATGTCAACCATACAAAGTAGAAACTAAGCACAAAGCACTGTGTTCACAGACAGTGAACACTCGTCAAATGAATTTTTTTAATCTATTTTCTTTGTTCACAGATTGTTTTTATGAGGAGGCTAATTGTTCAAGTGAATGACGTCCTGGGGAAAGGTACCACTTTTCAGACTTACTTGATTTTTTTTAAGAGAGAGAGAGAATTTTTTAATATTTACTTATTTTTTAGTCTTTGTTTGTATGTGGTGCTGAGGATTGAACCCGGGCCGCACGCATGCCAGGCGAGCGCGCTACCGCTTGAGCCACATCCCCAGCCCCCAGACTTACTTGATTTTTATTTGAGCTATATATAAAATAACATTTGAAAAATAAATTTGTGTCCTGAAAGAAAAAGATTTGAAACCATGGCTTCAGAAACTAGCTGATACGCCTCAACAATCTTCTACACCTGAGAAGATAACATGAATGGGAGCGTCCAGCCATCTGGGTCTCTCCCAGCTCCAAAAGAACTCCCCCCAGATGTAGCTGAGAGGAAAACAAAGACCATCTTGCACTGATGCGGGAACTGTGTCATATTTATCAGTGAAGAACTTTCTCAGGAAAGATTAGCACCAAGATGTTTAAGAAGAGCCTGAGGTCACAGCACCTCCCTCACAGAGCCCACCTCTGGGGGAGCAGCATGCAAAGACTGGCTGAGCCCAGCTGGCCCTACCTGGTGCAGGCAGAGGGCCTGAGACCAGTTACAGAAGCATCCAGACACTGAGCTCTCCCAGCCCCGGGGCCTCCCAGAGAACAATACCTGTTTCATGAGTCTGTTGGAAGCACAGGCCACATGACAGTGCCCAGCACAGAGGAGGTGTCAGAAATGGTCACTACCAATAGACAAGTCATGTAACCACGAGGCCAACTTTCTTATGTGTAAAAGGAAGACAATGGTTTCTATGAGAGAAGAGACACGGAAAGAACTTCTGAGACTTAAAATTCTCTAAAGAGGGCTGGGGCTGGGGCTCAGAGGTAGAGCGCCCACCTCACATGCGTGAGGCACTGGGTTCAATCCTCAGCACCACATAAAAATAAATAAAGATCTATTAAAAAAAAATCTCTAAAGAGTTCAGATTACTATCAACGAAGATGTAAAGCGCTGAAAGTGAACTGGTTGCACAGAAGTGTGTGGCCCCTGCCTCTGCAAACCCAGGGGGCGGGGCAGCCGCTAAAGATGGTGTGGGGGTCTCATTGCAAAGGCAGAGGATGAGGGGCTGACTTCTGTTGTAGAGGGATTGTTCTGACTGCAAAATGTCCAAGGCAAGGGTAGAGGCAGGGAGACCAGAGCAAAGCTAATACAGGGATCCCAGGGGCAGAATTGGTGCAAAAGCCCAATTAGAAAGAGCTTAAGAGGAAACGGCACAGCCAGGAGATCAGCACAAGCCTCAAGGGCATAACTGGAAACACAGAAGTCAGTCGAGGGCCGTGGAAGCTCACTCTGGGCCAGCACCACCACACCCCGGCCAGCCAAGGCTCCTGGCTTGATTGGTGGGGGCATGGTGGGGCATTCACTAACTTGGGCCCCCAGGAGGAGGTGAGGGTTTGCAAGCAAAGAAAAAGAGACAGTGCTTGTCATCTCAGCATGAGATGGCAGGGAAACCGTCCCAGCTCCCTGCACCTGGCAGTGCCCCACAGAGCCGCCAGGACGGCCTCTCCCAAGGCAAATGTTCCCAGGTGGCCTTCCTGCTTAAAAACCCCAGTGCTCGCCAAGGCCCACAGGGTAGCCCTGGTGCATCCTTCCAGGCCCCCTTTCCCATCCCTCGAGCACCTCCCTGACTACAAAGCCCATCTCCAACCACTGCACTCCTCCTCGTCCTTCACGGCCCACGTGGAACAACTTGTGTGAAATCACCTCCCCTCCCTGGACCTTCCTCCTCTGCAGACTCCAAGCTCCCTATACCCAGTTCCATTCAGCCTGCACACAGAAATATAATTATGACCCTGTAAGACTGAGAGACGGGTCTACCGAGGACCAACTAGGAGCTTTAGAATTGGAATAACCTGGGTTAAAATGTCAGCACTTGCTTGCCATACATAACTTCAAGCAGGATATTTAATTTCTCTGTTTTTGGTAAAGATAATAATGCCTATTTTATAGTATTGGTGTCAAGATTAAATGAGATGATTTAAGTAAGTCACCCAACATCGGACCTGGCTCCCGACAGGCCTCCAAAACGAGTTAGTACCTTCCAGACCTCACACTCCTCCGGGGCATAAAACATTTTCTGTACATTAAGAGCCCAGCAGTGAACTGACCCCTGACGCCCCATACAATGGGTGCTTGACAGCTGTGAAGGGGAATGAATTCTCTGGAACATTGGTTTCTGCATTTTACAAGTACCTCCACTCCCAGGTCAAGACGGCAGTTTTAATGTGGACTGTGCTGCCTTCCTCAGCTGGGGCTGTTCCCAGGCCAGTGGCCTCCCAAAGAGCCCGGTTGTTGGTCTCTAAGCAGCACACATCCGTCTTCTTCCTGAAGACTTGCTCCACGTTCTTTGGAACTTCAGTCACGGGCTGCACGGTTCCCCCACTCCCGGTCTTGCTTGCTCTCTCTTCCTCTGCCATTCTTCACCACGCGCCAGACGGCTCTTCCTGGCCTGCCTGAGCTGGGGACTGCACAGCCTCCTCCTGACCTCCTCAGGGCAGCCGGGGCCTCTGGCCTGCCAACTGCGCTCCAACAAGAAGTGCTGCCTGGAGCTGCTGCGTTTTTGAGACGAGGTCTCACTAAGTTCTGAGGCCGGCCTCCAACTTGTGATCCTCTGTCTTAGCCTCCCAAATCACTGGGATTGCAGGTGGGCACCACCACGCCCAGCCTCAGGCCTGTTTGTGGCAGTTAGCTAGGGGACTCTGAGCAGGTGGTGTCGTTCCAAACACAAAGTGATCCTGTGTTCAGTCCTAGAACACTGACAGGCTTGGGGAGAAATACAGAAAAATGCACGTTTGCTCACTTGTTCTCCACCTCATCCAGTATCCAGTGGAGCAGAGGGCAGAGCACAGACGCAGGAGTCGCCCTGTGTCCCAGCTCTGCTTTCTCTTCGTCACATCTTCCATGTGTTTAAATTTTCCAAAGCCTAGTTTCTGCATTCGTAAACTGAGATGGCCATCCCTGTCGTGGGTCAGCTGAAACGTGGAGCCGGGTCCAAAATTTAGCGGCTTACAACAGCAATTGTTGTCCATTTAGCTCTCGTGGGTCTTGGGGACGAGGCATTTGAGAGCAGCTGAGCTGCGCGACTCTGATCTGGGGCCTCTTGTGAGATGGCAGTCACACGGTGGTCAGGGCTGGGTCAGTTTCAAGGATCCTTCATTCCCACGTTGGTAGCTGGGCCAGGAAGACAAACAGGTGGAGCAGGGGCTGGAGCAGCCAGGGTTCCCTGGGCGTGTCCCTGTACCCACTGTGGGGCCTAACAGCCTGTCCCCCACTGCCACCCCACACAGTTCCTTCAGGTCTCTGGATTTCTAATATGGCAGCTCAAGACTGAAGGCACCAGGGGGTCAGGGAGAGACGCTGGCAACTGTGACTGCATCCCCTGGTGGAGCTCGTCAAGGGGAGAATTAATTAGACTCTTCCTTGTTTTGGAAGAGTGCCAAAACATGTGGACGTGCTTTAAAAAACACCATAGTACTGTGACGTGCCTGCACCCCAAAGGTAGGTGGGAATTCTCATTTTTTGAAAATATATCAAATGATTTAAATAACAGAGAAATGTCTCTGCCTCCTACCATTCCCGCCAAGGTGAAAGTATTTACCAATTTAGGCAGAAGATACAAAGAACGAAAGGAGAGGCAAAGAGCAGCAATAGTGGACATTTACGATCACGCGCTACATGCCCCGCTCCGTGTCCTGCTTTATGTACACCAGCGGCAGGACCCAGGGAGCCTCTACACTAACCTCTGGCATGCAGGACTTCAGAGTCCACAGTGTGAGTGAATTGTCCAGGGTTACAGAGCTAGGAAAGGCTGACCCCAGGGACTGTGGGCACAACCGCCACCCCCCACTGAGACCGTCTCAGCCCGGGTCAGTGGCTGAGGGACCTTTGACATGATGCGCCCCCCTCGTGTGGCTACTCAAATTGAGCGGCAGGGTATCTGAGGGGAGTGGAACCCGAGCATTCAGGAGGCTCTTAAACCCAGAGGTAGAAGTGCCTGGCTGTGGCTGACGGCAAGAGGGCAGAGGAAGTGAGGGCCGCTGGACAACCAGGCAGCGGGAGGCTGGCCCTACGGCCACTTCTCCGCCCCTCCTTCGCACAGAAGGCCTGTGAAGGGCCTCCGGCCGGTCCCTTCGCCTCCCCTGTGCCAGCTTGGCTATCTCAGGCTGGGACAGCTCGGCGCTTCTCCCACTAGCCAGCCATGCGATTCATTCCTCCCAGCCCCGCCAGGGGTGAGGAGGTGAGCAGAGGAGCGCAGTCCCCTGCAGGGTCTACGGAGCATTTCCTCCTCCAGACCCAGGAGCCCGGTCCACAGAGATTCTGGCACTGATAACAATGAGCTGTGTCCCTCCTGTGGCTCCTGAGAATGAGAACAATTGTTGCGGTGGGCCCCAGGAGGTCTGCTGGCCTCCTCCAGGGTCACAGTCCTCAGATGCTTCTGACTCCCCTCCCATGTCTCCACCACCATCTCCATCTTTTCCTCTCCATTCCTGTCTGAACCCTTTTTAGACTCTAGCTGCCTTCACAGTACTTTCCCCTCCCCCATGCCATGTGACCTTCAAGGACTCCCCGTTCAATCTCTCGAAAGTCAGTCATTCAAAACATATTTACGAAGCAAGTGCTGTGCGCCAAATGTGGCTTAAGTTGTGGGGTCTGAGCAGAGAACATGGCAGGAAAAGTCCCTGGCTTTCCTGAGCTTATTTTCTAGGGAGTTTTTACAGAAGGAGAATCTACACTTCACCAAAAAATAGTGGTTGGGGGCAATGTAAGAGGAACGTACTCAAAATAATGTCAGGAAATTTCCCTTCCACATCTCATTGAAAACACAACCAGCCCAGGTTCGTGAGCTCGGTGGAAGTGAGATGATGCCCTTAGTACGGAGTGGATGGCTGCAGCCAGTCACCCGAGCTCCCCACGTGATGATGCAACCCTTTCTGGAGTTACCTGTGCAGTCTGGGGATTCACCTGTTCAGACCTTATCTGCCGGGTGTGCCGGCGTCTGTCAGCACTGCCTGCCTGGAGTCTCCAGCCCAGGACCCAAGGTGGGGGAAGTTGCTGCATCCACCCAGCATTCTTCCCCTTGCCCTGACTAATTCGAGGCTGGCACCACCAGGTTGCAAGTTATGTCCAGAGACTGTTTCTGGAAACTGCTGCTCGGCCTGTGGTCCTCACGCCCTCTATATGTCCTGCCAGGTGCAGGTGCAGTATCACTTTCAATTAAAAATTTGCAGGATAAGAGGAGTTGGATAATTTACCTAGTAAGTGGGTAAATGATTTTCACATTAAGAACAAGATATTTTAGGGAAAAAAAATAAAAATGTCACATGAATCTCAAAGTTAAAAGCATGTGAAGTCAAGGAAATCTAGTTTTTTCGCTGACAGCTTTAGGCTCTGCCCCGGTGTTAGGGGAGTTGCTTTCTCTCTCCTCCACCTGCTCAGTGAATTGGTCAAAAGGCTCTGGTAAGAGACAAGCACTGTGAGGCTGTTCTGGCCTTCGGTCCCTTTTCCCAGAGCCTCTCCAGGCAGGAGGGAAGTGGGGATGCCAACGAGCAGCCTCAGCCAGTGTTGGCATGTTTTCATAAGACAGCCCAACCAGAGGTGCCCTGGAGCAAGGGACAAATCATTTTCTCTCAGAACAACAGCTTCCAGAGTACGGAAGTTCCAAGTCTGCTCAAAAGAAAATGGCACCAAGGACCCAGGTCCTTTCCATTTTCTCTCTGCCAGGCTCAGCTGGTTGACATTTGATCTCACGCTGTGGCCTGAGAGGCACGAGAAGAGGGCACTCTCCTCCCTTAAATCCTTTTTGAAGAGTGAAGAGAACCTTTTGCAAAAGATTCCCCAGCAGAGACTTCCCCTCATTTCTTGCTGCACAGAATTAAGGACAAAATACAGGCAAGACGAATGACTTTCTGTAATGAAGCATCTAATCCAGACTCGTCCGCCCCATGAAGCTCGGGAGGGACCTTTCCCTGAAGAGTGTGTCCACCAGCACTCAAGCCAATCAGGGAGAGCAGAGCGCAGGGCTGTCAGCAGCCAGGCAGCCAATGAAGTGCGCCCCTCAGCCCTTGGTCTCCCTCGCCCAGGGTCACATGGCCCTGTGGAGAAGCGGGAGCCTTGATGGGGGAAATAATGCCGGGTGAGTTTCCATTTCTGAAATCAAAGTGCCTTGTGGCATGTTTGTTTTGAATCATGTGGTTTACGCAATATTCCATCACGCAAATCCAACGGGCTGCTTTCCAAACTTGAAAAGTTTTGTCAACTTGGAAGAAAGGAGCAACCCGAGGCCAGCTGAAGACTGACCTCTTTCACAGAGGAAGTGTGGATGTGCCTGTCCCCTGCTGAGTGGCTATGACACCCCTCTCCTGGCACCGGGAGGCCGCTCAGAGGCACAGGATGTGCCAGGTGGGACATGATCACCTGCTCTCCTAGTGACAGACAAGCTGATGGAAGAATGACAGAAGGGCTTGCCCAGGGTCAGATGGCAGAGGCAGGGCAGAGAGGGAGCCTGGTGTGCTGTCCTCCGTTTTCACAAAGACTCGGAGCTCCAGATGAGGTCCCCTTGTCAAAGAGCCTTCTCACAATCCCACAAATACCTGCCAGTCACCACAGAGCACAAGAGGAAGGACAAGAGCTTAGTGGGGGACACGTGGCAAACCCCATCAAGTGGAAGTCATGCTCTAGCCCCAGGTAGGACTGACAACAGGTTGTGTCAGTGTAAAAAGGTGACTTGGGAATGCCCAGAAGAAGAGCTTCCTTGGCCTTCAGGAAGACATGATAAAACAGATCAGAAACCACCCCATCAGCCAAGCTGCAGGTCCGCAGGAGCTGAGCCACAGTAGGATGCTCAGCAGCCCTCCTTGCAACCCTTGGCTGTTGTTGATAGCTCTAATTAGATTGCATAATTAGGGAGATTTACTACCTAGTTCAAGGGTAAATTTCCATGGGATCCTAATTCCAGGTGTCCTCGATTAACCTCGCTCGGCTCAGCACATGTGGACAGAGGAAAGCTACTGCCCTGTCACGCTTTCTTTCCCGAGATCCCTGTTTTCAGCAGCGCCAGGCCCTGCACCACGCCTGGGAGTGAGGTCTCTGGAGCTCTGTGGTTTCCAGCAGTGCTGCGGGAACGCCTCGGCAACGTGGCCCCCCAGTCCATGAGGCTGTCTGCGGTGGACTACCAGTCCACCACTCCCACGGCTCCTCGGCATAAAGATCCCAGGCGCTCCCTATCCAGACCCATTACAAGTCAGATTGATGATTAGATTCTTCATTAATCTCTCACTTGTCACACTCACCCTGTGATCTTCCGAACATTACTCAACCTCCCGAAGCCTCACAGGGTTGAATTAATTATTAAATGAGCTATTATATGGAAATCACATGGAAGTATGTAATAATATTTAATGTTCAATAAACGCTAGCTGATATGACTAACAGGATTACAGCATTTTTACTTAATAGTGGGCTCCTAGAAGGGGAGGAATCGAGCTCCCTCAGTCCTGCCTTTGGAGTTTGATTAGCACACAACGCACTCAGCAAATATGTGTCGGGTTGCACTGAAGTCCCCCAGCAGGTGTTGTCTGCACCCTTCAGATGCTGCTTGTCACCTAGACACTTGCTCTGCCTTGGGGTGTGCAAATCATTTAGCCCCAGTGAGCTGTGGTTTCCTGGAAGTACAGGACATCTCATTCACCTCGGTAAAGCCCTCCCCATCTGGCTCATAGTAGGTGCTCAGTAACTCTTCACAGCCTTAAACCGACTATGTTTCTGAATTTTGATAATAAGAAAATCATATGAAATGTGAGGAGGAGCAGGTGGCATGCACATTTACAACCCAGCAACACCACAATTTAGGAGTGGAATGAGAAGTCAGAACCATCAGGGCAGGAGCTTAGGACTGACGGACAGGAGTGGGTGGGGTCCTGAAGGCTGGGGCGTGTGGAGATTGCATGCTCCCTGTGGGCAATGATCACGCTCCCTGTTTCTCAGGCACCTCCCACGGAGTCTGGCAGACACCAGATGCTCAATTAATGTCAGTTTGAGTGAAGGTACCCCTGCTTAGCCCAGCCCTGGTTCAGATGGGTGCTGTCAGCAGGCCCCGCACCTGGGTACCAAGCTCCTGCCCCCACCCCCATTCCCACCACCGGGCATTCTCTGTCTCTGCCTAGGTCCCCACCTCAATTTCAACTTAGCAGAATGAGAGTCACACTCTGGCATCCTGTTTGTGGGGGTGGGAAAAGTCCCGAGCCGTTAGTGAACACGTGACTTGAAGCTCTTCCCTGTCATTAAAATTATCGACAGTGAGTTTTGTTTCCCGTGAAAACAGAAGAAAATCCTTCTTAGGAATCTCTTGAATGTGTTCTCTTTTTCAAACCAGCTCTACTTTAGGAAATAGTGCTCCCATCAGGACCAGGTCTTTGAAGGTCACTAGCAAAGACACTTCTTCAGGAGACAGACCAGACAGAACAGCCAGTCAAACATGTTGGATTGTATTAAAGAGAGAGAAGGGAACGTTCACTTGGTGTCTCCATCCAACATTGACTTTCCAAAGGCCACAGGAGATGGTTTGGACAGCAAATCATATAATATCTAAATAAAAGTGGCTTTACCAATAAGGAGGTTTACTGTTTTGCAGAATTTGAAGTATGGAGGCATAGCAATTTCCGGGTGGTTAACTCACTGACAGAAACATCTGGATCTAGCTCAGCTGTCCTGCAGCTATCCCCACCGTCCCAAGGTCTGCTGGAATTAGAGTCCACCCGCTGTTTACCATCTTCAGAGGCAGAGGCAGAGAAAGTGAATATCTCCTCTTTGTCCAGAATCAGCACAGTCTTCCCATGATTAAATAATTAATAGGCAAGGGCAGGCACCACCACTGGCCTAGACCAATGAAGAGTCGCTTTTGGTTGGGTAGAGGTCAAGTTTTCAAAAAACACATGACCCCTCAGCAAAGGTGAAGCCAAGCCCTTGTCCCCAAGTACAGAGAAGTGGCTGGAGTAGGCTGGAGAGCAGGTAGCCTGCAGAGCCTTGGATGCTGGTGCAGGCCTGAGGTGTAGCAAGCCAGGGTCACCGACCTGTCCCCGGGTTGGCCAGGGCCAAGTGGGTGTGGATGCCTGTTCCACACAGCACTGTAGTCCCCAACCCCAGGGCCTCCAAGACCAGCTGACCTCAACCTCCTGGGGTACTGGGATTGCAGCCAGGATGAGAGAACAGAAGTGGGGTGGGCCTGAATGGAAGTTCTGCCTCCCTGGCAAACCAAAAGCGTCGGTGCTTTCCCTTACCCTGTCAATCTGAGCCTCAAACTTGACTGTATTTGGAGACCAAGTCTTTAAAGAGGTAAGTTGAAACAAGTCGTTAGGGTGGGTTCTGATTTATCCCCATAAGGACGTGTCCTTATAGGAGGAAATGTGGACACCAAAGGAGACACCAGGGTCACACATGCACAGAGGACAGACCATGTGAGGACACAGAAGGAAGGTGGCCCAGGAGAGAGCGCCGAGGAGAACCCAACCCTGAAGACACCTTGATCTTGGACCTGTAGCCTCCAATACTGTGAGGCGATCCATTTCTGCTGTTGAAGCCACCGCATCTGTGGCATTTTGTCATGGCAACCCTAGCAAATGAATGAGGAGAGGGAAAGGGGCACAGCCTCAGGGGCTTCCCTCTGATGTTTCTTCCTCCTGCTCCCCAGGAAGTCCCCAGCATCCTGCCCTCCCTCTTCATGGCAGGCGGCTTCCCCCAGCTGAGGGGCCTTCCACCCTGAGGAACGCCAACTGGCACCAGATTCCTGGGTAACCAACACAGAGCAGTTCACGTCACAAAACCCCTTCCTCCTCTGACTCTGCTTCACACCACAGATGCCCGGAATGTGCTGCGGGCTCAGGCTGCAGAAGCAACTTTCTTTAGCCTGAAAAGGCAGCGGCGAGTTCTGGACCTGCAGGGTTGACTTCCACACAAAATCCACCAGAGAGTTTTCAAAGGGCAGGCGGGGGTCACTAAAGCATAGCACCTCTGTGTGACATCCAAGAGAATGGGGCTCCTACCAGTCAGCAGAGCTGGGTGGTGGCAGAGGGAACAGGTGAGTAAACTTTCAAAGGACTGAGCTTCAAATCTGGGCACCTGCCAGATAGAGACTGCATGTCCTCAGGCAGTGTCCTGTCCTGTGACACAGTAATAGCCGTGCGTGCCCCTAATCCAGAGAGGAGAGGGGCTTGCCCAACACTGCTAGGAACCGGGGGTGGAGATGAGAAAAGGGTGTGACATAGTATCACAAATTTAGTAGCTTAAGACAATTCACATTTATTTTCTTATAGTTGCAGAAGTTAGGTATCTGAAAGGGATCTCACTGGGTTAGAATCAAGGAGAGTCAGGGCTGTGTTACCTCACGGAGGTCCTAGTGCAGAACTCACTTCCACACACACTCCTTGGCTTGTGAATCCTTCCATCTTCAAAGTCAGTGAAGTCTAGTCAGGTCTTTCTGATATTGCATCATTCTGGCCTGACTATCCTGCCCTTGTCTCTGTCTCTGTCTCTGTCTCTCTCACCCTTGTGACATAAGCCAGGATAGTCTCCCATCTCGAGACCGTAAATCACATCTGTAAGCATATTCACATACGTTCACATGTTCCAGAGGTGCAAATGTGGACATCTTTGAGAGGCCACTCATTGGGAGGCCATTATTCTGAGAAGAAAAGCCTCAATCTGCTCCAAGAGAGTTATTTCTATTCCACAGAATACACTCACCCCATCCCCAAAGTCTCAGTCTACTACAGCATAATTCAAAGTCTCAATTCCATATAAATCTCATCAGTGAAAAGTCCCAACTCTCATCTTCCAAGTCATCCAAGCAGATATGAGGAAGACACTGAGTATGACCCACCATCTTGGAACAAAATCCCTTTCTGCCTGGGACCTGTGAAACTGAAACTGAGTCATCTGCCCTGAACTTTAGTGATGGGACAGGCTTGGGAAACCAGTTATAAACATTCCACCCAAAGGGAACCTGAGGGTCAGCAATCCATAATCTTGAATTCCAGGGGGCAGAGTTCATTCAGCTCCACAGCCCCTGAGGCTCAGGGCTGTCTCTTGGAGACACCATTTCTCTTACACAAAAGGCCCCATAATGCATTCTGCTATTATGTATAACTAATTAGAACACATTTTTTAATGAAAAAATTTAAAAAATTGCTTGAGGTGAATAATTCTACCAGCCTGTTTCTTTCCCATAAAATTCTAAAGAAAATGAATTAGTAATTAAAAGAAGAAAAGAAATATCCAAGCCAAATAGTATCACTGACTCAAACATTTAAAGAAGAATTAATATCTATTCTACACAGTCTTTTCCAGAAAATGAAAGGATGAAATATTTCCCAATTCATTTTAGGAAGCAAGTGTAATCTTGACACCAAAACTAGACAAAGCCATTACAAAATAGAAAAAAATCACAAATGTCCCTCAAATGTAGAAGCAAAAATTCTTAACAAAATATTAGCAAATACAGTTAGCAATAAACAAAAAAGAATTATAAACTATGACCATGTTTGGATTATTCCAGAGATGCAAGCCTGGTTCATTATTTGAAAATTAATCAATGCAGTCTATATTTTAATAGACTAAAAAAATTTAAAAATCACATGATTAAGCCAGTTGATGCAAAAGTTACTTGACAAATTTCAACACTTATGATTTTAAAAACTTCTCAGAAAAATAGCAATAGAGGGGAACTTGCTCAACTTGATAAAGATCATCTATATTATGCCTAATAGCTAATAGCTAAGGGTTGCAGGCCTTCCCCTCAGATTGGAAATAGGGCATTTATTCACCGAAGTACCAGATGTACTATCCAGTACAATAAGGCAAGAAAGAGAAATAAAAGGCACTCAGATCAGAAAAGAAGGAAAGCAACTGTCTCTTTTAGAAAAGGACAATAGTTATCAGAAAATCCTGAGCCTGAAAAGCAAGAATAACAATTACAAAAAACAAACAAACAAACAAACAAACAAACAAAAAAACCCCTAGGCTTGTAAGTAAGTTCAGCAAGATCTTTAGGAACTTAGATCTGGTGGAAAGTTCTTAGACTTGATAACAAAGACACAAAGGAAAAATTGACTTCATAAAATTTTGTTAATACCGTTATTTTATTTATTTAACTTTATGATGTGCTGAGGATGGAACCCAGGACCTCACTGTGTAGGCAGCGCTCTACCACTGAGCTACAATCCCAGCCCCATAAATTTTTTTTTTTTAATTTCCTTTGTTGTAGACCCTGTTAAAAGGATGGAAAGACAAGCTACAGAGTGGGAGAAAATGTTTGCAGATCATATATCTAACCAAAGACTGTTTTAAAATAAATTTTTAAAACTCTTGAAATTCTAAACAGTCCAATTGGGAAATGGATAAAAGACATGAACAAACATTTTACCAAAGAGGAAATGCACATGACAAGGAAATGCCGGCAAAGGGGTTCAGCATCTAGTGGCTCCCTAGCGACTAGGACATGCAAATTCAAACCACAAGGGGCCTGTAGGGATGGCTGAGGTAAAAGGTGTGACCAGTCAACACCCGTGAGGATGTGAAGGGACAGGGCCACCCACACGCTGCTGGTAGGAGTGCGACCCACCGACTGTGTTCCCAGAAAAATAGACACATTCCCATGAAAACGGTATAAAAATGTGTGAAGCAGTTTTATTCATCAGGGTTCCAAACTGGAAACGAGCCAGATGTCCTTCAGCAGGTGAGTGATGAAGCCCCAGGACATCCACGACCCCAGGTTCTAGCCAGCACCCACCTGGTGAACCTCCTGACAGTCATGCCATGAGCAAAGCCAGTCCCCAAAAGTCACGTGTTGTATGTTTCCACTCCAGAAATGGCAGATGTTCTAGAAATAGAGAAGGCCAACCGCTGTCCAGAGCTGAAGAGGTGGAGGGTGGAGAGAAGTGTGTGTGTGGAACCTGAGGGCACCTTGTAGAGATGGACATGTTCTTTATCTTGACCACTCCTGGTCATAACAGGGCGAGGTGTTAGTAATCAGAAAGCAAAACACTGACTGCTCCTTCCTCCTCCACCCTCAACTGCTCACTTCTGGTCCCCAAAATTGGGTTTGGGTTTTCCACACACACCAGGAATTCAGACACCAACTGGGTGTCCTAGGACTCAGCCGATTCTGACCCTGTCAGCCTGGAGACAGATCAGCTCCCACAGGTTAAAGGCTCCGTCCCACGGACTGCCCCCACTTCAGATGCCAACCTCCAGCCCCCCGATTTTCACCTGTGCTCCTAACCAACCAATTATGAATCAGAGGGTCCCCCAACCTCCCCTCAGGTTCTATTATTTTCTGGAATGATTCACAAAACTCAGGGGAATACTTTACTTACATTTTCCTATTTATTCTAAGAGCATACAATTCAGGAACAGCCAGATGCAGGGGAGTCCTAGGCAAGGTTCGGAGGAAATGCCACGGAGCTTCTGTGTGCACTTGGGCTCACCATCCCCCTAGGGCCTCCACGTGCTGAGCAACCCCCAGAATCTCTGCATGTGTCCTTTTGGGTGTTAGAGAGGATCCTTATGAAGTCATGATTAAATATTTGCCCATGAATGATCAACTTAAATGATCAACTCCAGCCCTTCTCCCCATCCCAGAGGTTGGGTTGGGGCTGAAAGTTCCAACCATCAATCATCTCATTAGCATATGAAAAGACACTTATTACTTTGGAGAGTCCAAGTTTTTAGGAGCTGTGTCAGGATATGGAGACAAAAAAACAAATGCGTATTTCTATTCTAAATCACATCACAATTACCACTGGGGGCACTGGATAAGCACACAAAGGGCCTCTCTACTACTTCTTACAGCTGCATGTGAACCTACAATTATCTCAAGATGAGAGGTTTCATTCCAAAACAATTTTTAATAGGATTTTATTTAAAAATTTAAATCTCCATCTTCTCTGGAAAGTTGGCAAGATCTGACCCACTTTCAAACTCGGCTTTAAAATGGACTGCAGTGGAGCAGCCGGGCACCTCCAGCTTGGGCATCCACTTGCCAGTTCATGCCAGTTCTCCCCACCACTCTGCCCCTCTCCTAGGCTCACGGTTCTCTGTTCCTTGTCAGCCAGTTGCTTTCTTTTTCTCTTACGTCCTGAGAGAGACCCCTCCTTGTCAGGCATGTCAGTTTTCCACTTTTCTAGCAAAGCTGGCTATTGGCAGGGTGGAGTTATGCTGAGGAGTTAGCTGCCATCTTAACTCCTATGTCTGAGAGCCAAAGTCTGAGGCTACCATAGAATACAGTGAATCTCTTGAAAGTTCCAGAAAGACCTGAGTTCAAATCATAGTTTCCCCAACTGACCTTGAACAAATTACTTAATTTCCACATTTTCACTTTCACAATGGTGTCAATAATACATAGCACCATCAAACCAATGCACCCACCACCACAGAGCCGGAGTTCACTGATAACTTTCCCCATAATAGCAGGAGGGCTCCCCTAGTTGCTGTGCGTTCCTCCCAGTAGCAGCAAGGTATGCTAGAAGACACTGGCTCTCGCTGGACTTTCGTCAACTGGAATTTAGCTACCTAAATGTCTTTCTAGAATGATCTCATAATCCTCCCAAGATTATTGTGAAGATTCTACAAAGCAGTCACTTGTATTACGTTCCCCTTACATATGAGGAATTGAAAGCTTAGCTATTTGATTATTCTGACTTCAGTCAATGAGTCTCACCCTCACATCTCGGCATTGAATTACTTTTCTACCGCCTCTCACAGTCTCAGGCTCTGACAGAACTTGGTAGAGTTTTCAGTTGCATCTCTTTGTCTGTTACTAAGGCAAACCCAAGAACTTCCTGATCTACCCTGTTTCACAGCCTCTGGGAGACTCTGAGAATTTCCCTTCTGTTCTACCTTCTTCCCCTGGCACCTGAACTTCTTCTGGGTTGACCACAGGCCCCAGCGACCTGCAGGCTGCACTGTGTCTGAAGATTTTCAGATCCCCAGTGACAAGTACAGAGTGTCATTATCGAGGCTATCTCCCTATAGTAACTGTTGGCATGCCTTTCATGAGTCAATCATCTTTTTTTACTGGCATTAACTTATATTGGCAAAGAGAAAGGGACAAAAAACACAAGGAACAGTCTGAGTGAAACCCCAGCTCTCCCAGAGGACTGGTTGCTGGCCAAGCTGCTCAGGGCTGTAGCTCAGCAGAGACGAAGACGCTCAAGAACAACAGGACACTCCCGTCCCTGAGCGTCCAGGGCCTTTGCAGGAAGCCAGGAAACAAGAGCAGAGAGGAGGCTCAGGCTTACCTCTCAACGGGAAGAGCCTGGGCACTAAGACAAAGCTGGCCTGAGCCCTGGCGCCCCCAGCTTGGCTGCGCAGACTCAGGCAAGGTCCAGGGCCTCTTGCTGGGCATGGGGTTTTGTTTGTTTGTTTGTTTGTTTGTTTGTTAGGGTGGGACGATGATCATACTAGGCCTGGCTCATGGGGTCTGCGGAGGCCACACAGAGGCAATACAGGAAATGTGCTTCTGCACTGCCTCACGCGGTAGGCACTCAGCGCTGCTGCTGGTATCATACTCATGGTGTGATCTGCAGTGAGCCAGGGAGAAGGAGCAGCTGGGGTGGAGGTATTTTAGCCACTATCAGCAAAAGAGCCACAGAGCACAAAGGTTGGACTTGAACGGAGCTCCAGGGCAGCTCACTCCCCTGTGGCCCTCAGATTCTCAGGAGGTGAATATTTAAAAATTAAACAGTGCTTTCCTGCAAGACTGGTGTATAGTTTCAAAAAATGTTTTCTTTCCAGTTTTGGTAGTTGTAAGTGTTTGTTTTGGTGCTGGGAATTAAATCCAGGGCCTTGTACATGCCAGACACTCTCTCTACCACTGAGCTACTTCCCCCAAACCTTAACTGGGCTTTTTTTTTTTTCTTTTTAAGCAATATTCTGGCTTTACTTTTCTATCTCCGTGCACTTGGACATGACTGACCTTTGTCAGTAACCTTTTTCTTATCTATGGCATTTGCTCGGGAGCCACCTGAGATGAGGTCTGTGGGGGGGCTTGGTAAACTGGACCCACCAACAGCTCTGTCACAGTGGCTCTGTCACAGGGCTGGTCCTAGCCGTGTGCCCAGCTTAACGTGTAGAGTGAAACACACTTTCAAATTGAAATTAACAACAGCTTGATTGTTTCTGTTAAGTTTGAATTCTGCAAAATTATGTGATAAAGGCGGCAAAACTGTGGATAAAATTGTTCTAATGAGGTACAAGCATTTAATGTGAAGAAAAATATTGGAAAAACTCAATTACTATCTTAACAAGGTGAAAAAATTCACAGAAGAATGGGTGAAAACAGAAACGATTTCAGTGGGACCATCACAGAGCCCATCCCACTGTGTCCCACCGTGTCCTGGATCCCAGACAGCTGGCAGACATCATCCTCAGGGCTAACGTGTTGTCTCTTACTGCCCCCCTGGTCAAAAACTCCAGGGGCCCCAGCTCTGCGGACGCTCGGCCACCACCTGGCAAGTTACCTTCCTCCTCTCCGACTCGGCTGCTCCGCCCTCTTCTCTGCCTGGGCCCTGCTCTCCCGGCAGTTGGCCCCCTTCGCCCCATCCCAGCTGCGCTGTCTCCTGGTAAGTGTGCTCCTCCTCCGCTCCAAACACGCTCCTGCCCTGTCTTCCTCTGTATTTATCTCCCTATCATTCATCTATTTTAATCCTGCGAACCTGTTTGTTCTTTTAGCCCATCCATATTGGCTTAGTATTCTGCGATATTTGTCACTTAAATCTTAGTCTCTCCTAGCGTCCACTCCCAGATCTCTTCCCTGAAGTCCTGGCCGGGTGGCAGCTGGGCTGTAATTGCTGCTGCACCTACAGGAGCTCCTGGTTCCCTATGGGTGGATCTCTCCCCCAGGCAGATTATTCCTGCTGTAGGGCCAGGGTGGGCCTTTTATTCCTCCTGCCTTATGTTTTGTTTGTTCTGTGACTCTTTCCAGAAGGGCTTGGAGGGAGTTTACAGCAACAGCACGCACATGTGTGCACAGGCACACACACGTGCACAGATATGGCAAACTATAAATAATAGAAAAAAAAAAACAAAAAAAATAAGTCTGCAGTGTGGGTTCTGACTTCCTCCCATACCAGGGCCCAACCCAGGTACTCTCTAAAGATCTCAGACCACCAAGACTCGATGCCCTCTGTCCACGCGGTACGCGTTACGGAAACCCTGCTGCTGACCGAGCAGGAAGGGAACCAAACGTGAGGAGCAGCAAGGAAGTCTCATCAGAAAGAGCCCCAGACCTTCAGTCTGACTTCATTCATTTTTTTTCCTTCATGCAATAGAATTTTTAAGCATCGACTGTATTCGTTAAATGAAAATTACAGGCACCACTGGTTTGGACTAAGCTCCAAGCCAATTAGGCCCCAACAGACCAGGCTTAAAATCCAAAGGGCTCACTCAGGCCAAAGTTCCCCATCAGCAGACCAAAACCAAGTGTAACCTGACCTGGGAGAACCAGGAGAGGAACACCAGTGTCCCAGCAGGCCCTTCTGTGTGACTCTTCACTGAGAGGTCACCCAAGTAGTCGGATACTCACAAATCAGTTATTTTTCTATTGTTTTGTTTCCCAGACTTACAAGGAGAGAGACTTTGAAACAGCTGATCTGCTTTTTGTTCTTTGTTTTTGCTTTTTTCCAGACTTTTGTCTGTAAAATCAACATCATGGGCTCAAGCCATAGGAACATTGTCTTTACAGCAATAAAGAGTTGCCTAATTCTAGAATCTCACCTAAAGTGAATAAAGATCTTCAAATTAAATTGGTTGTCATTTTGTCCTTTCATAATTACATACTGGTTGTATAACTAATTCTATAACCAAACAGCACCTTGTCACCTGCCTACCCTCATTTGTTAAAGGAAAATGAAAATAAAAAAGAGGATCAAACACTGTGCCTCTCCTGGGTATGTACAAACATCGATCCTAAGACCTAGTTTTCTTTTCTTTTTTCTTTTAACTTTTAAAAATATTTCATGTATGGGTTTTCAAGGAAATTTGCATTTATGAAGTGAATTAGGTAAATTTAATAATTAACATTTTTAAAAAGCAGTCCATCTCTCTGGTCATCAAGTCATTGAAGAAGCAATGCTATTATGAAGAGAATGTAAACCACGAGGAAATCTCACTACACAGCCACAGAAATATCTAAAATAAAAACATTCACCACATTAAGTACTGGAGAAAATGTAGAATAAGCAGGCCTCTGACCAGTGCGTAAAGTAGTCCGGCCACTTTGGCAAACAGCTTCACAACCTCGTAAACAGTTAAAATGGACATCTGTCCTATGATCTAGCAATTCCACTCCCAGTTGTTTATTTGAGAAAACTAAAAATACTGGTCTATGAAATCCTTGCTTAGGAATGCTCACGGCAGCCTCACTCACAGTAGCCAAATCCAGAAACAATGCAGATGTTATCACAGGAGATAAACATACTTACTTGTATTCATGCAAAATGTCAGCAATAAACAGAAACACACTCCCTCACGTGAACAGCATGGATAAGGCTCAAAGATACCAAGCACAGACGGTGTTGCTCCACTGATGTGACATCTAGAGCCTGCAGTGGCAGAACTGCTCCTGGGGACAGGGATGAGGAAGGACTGTTGGGAGGGCATGAGGAGAAGTTCTGGAGGAACTTGTGTTGGTACGCACCACCGGTACTGATGGACTTAAAATCGGACCATTTCAGTACATTCAATTGGATTTCATTACCTGGAAAGGTAATGCTGAGGGAGGATTCAGGAGATGCACGTGTTAAAGCTGCAATGTGGTGGCACATGTGTAGCAGAAACCTCTGAACGGCTCATTACAAAAAGTAGGTTTTGTGATTATTTAATTGTATCTCAATCAACTGTCAAGTAAAGACAATGCTCAACTATTAGGACCTGGAGAAAGACGGCCAACCACAGATTTTGCACAGAACTGGCCTTCTGGGCCATGTGGTGACATGCACCCAGAGCCTTATAGGAGGGGAGCCTCCTGGCCCAGCAAGGCTGCTTCCGAAATTCACCATAGGAAAGCACCAGAAGGCACACCCCCAAGACCTGGATTTAGAGACATTCACTCAGTGCCGTTTGTAACAGGGAACACGGGAAGGCAATGTAATGTCTGTACATAGCACATTAGTGAGGTGAGTATGTGTGTGTGTGTACCTCGGTGGCACTTTAATAATGTTAACTAATAATGATCAACATGGAAATCTACTCATAACATATTAGTAGGTTGTAGAAAATATGCAGAAAATTACATGATTGGTATTACATAGGCTCTAGCTCTTGAGTGCTATGCAGTAGTGTAGCTTATGTATGCTAATCCTACTCTCATCCAGGCAGGACACACATTGAACAATAGGTGACAAGTGCAGAGATCTCTGGGTGCTGGAGGATTACGTGTGCCTTTTAAAAAGACATAGGTTATTAACTTTCAAAATAATCTTTAAAGTGGGTCAATAATGAGAGGAGGTAGAAGTCACTGGGACTGTGGTTCACGTGGGGTAGAGAAGATGATCTGGGGTAGGGATGGCCATGTACTGCATGGCCCTAACGAAAATCTGGTGCAGTGGAAATGTAAAGTTGACTTACGCATCACACCATGCCCCGGAGGCAGCTGCGAGGAAAGTACAGCATTCAAGAAGGTGACCTCTGCCTGGTGTTCCTGTCCTCCAGAGCCCGCCATTTCCATTGTCAGACGTGCTTCCATCAGAAGACACTCCCATGGTTATTCTTCTGAGGTATCCTGATCAAATTATTCATCTCAGTCCCAGTGAGAGAGCCCTGGAGCTGGATACTGTTTTTCCTTCCCCAGTTTATCAGGCGCAGCCACCTGCTAGACCATTTTGGAACCAGCTTGGACAGAAAGAATTCACATGCTTAGAGAATTCACCTTATATCTAGAGTTGCAGAAAGTTCTGTGAAGCTGCCTTTAACAACTCTGATCAGAAGACAAGCAAATCCATGTCCAGGAGCGAAGCACAGCAAGCAGGTGGCTCTGGAGAAAACCGCCCCTCTGAGCAGTCCTTTTGGACAGACAGCGTGAGTTCAGAGCAGGGTCCCCTTAGGCAGGCGCTGTCCCATCTGAAAAGTGAAACTGGTGCCCAGAGAGGGCAATTTGTCCAAAGTCAGCCAAAAGTCAGGAGCGAGCTGTGATCCTCTGTCCCACCCGGTGTCGGAAGCTGAGGAAGAAAGGGACAGTGTGTTATGATGGAATACCCCGGGTTAGAAGCCTGGGTCTAGCATTGGCTTTGTCCTTGGTTGGCCAGGCTCCTTTGCCACCCTTCAGGGAACCTGCCTCTTTCCTGTAATGAGGAGGTTCTGGTGGGGAACATTTTTGACCAGACACCTATGGTTCTAATAAGCTCCCACCCTGCCCTGCCCTTCCCCGGGTTTAGTCCTGGTAGGCACTGCCCTGCCTGTCCGTGGCTCTTTGCATGCCCATTCCATCTATGCAAGGTCAAAAAGATGTCCTGTGAGCTGCCCAACTAGGCGCCCAACGTCTCACCCTTATTGTTTCTATTTCGTGAGAGCCTTAATTTTTTTTTCCCTACACAACTGGATTAACTAGGCACGTCTATGTCTGTACTCGGAACACTAATAAATATGCTTTGCAAAGTAAATACAAGTTTAATGTTCATTAAACAGACACCAAGAGCCTGGGGATGTGTGGAACAGGAAGAAGGAGGCTCCCGGGCAGCCCGCCTCTCCTAGGGGCTGGGGCTCCGAGGTCCTGGACCAAGAAGAGGAGGAAGAGAACAGGTGCAGAAGGGAGGGTCTTGCTACAGACAGACAGACAGATCAAATGCCACCCAAATGGCAGTTTCCAACTTCAATTGACTCTAATGGCCTGACAAGGTAGAGACATCGCCAAAGTCAATACGGCCATCTGCGTGTCCAAGGCCGGGTTTGGTCACACCAGAAGTTTCTGTACCAGATGCCTGTCCTCTGGATTTCACCTAATATCCTTGGTTATGATCTTGCTTCAATAGGGTTGAATTTTGAGCTCCTAAACCAAACTTTTTGGTAAGGGTCTTCTCTTGAGGAAGTCCTTCACACCTTTTGAAAAAGTCTTATTTATGTTTATAATTTTATTTTAACATACAATACACAATGATAAAAATAAATGTTTTCAGATAGGATGCTGTTAGAATATTTCACTTTCTCAGCAGGTTATAAAAGTAAAAAATGTCACTAAGAATATTCTTTAACATTTCTTTATCAAAATGTCTTGCCACCATGTTGGTTTCTAGAGAACATGCAGTCAAGCCAATGGTTCCTGTGATTAAAGCGCCTCTGTCCTAAGGAGACAGGAAGTGCCTCTTGTGATTGGACAAAGTTTTGTTTCACAGCCGTGGAATCAGAAATGTGCCCCATTACTGTCACCAGTGCCCAGCCTGAGACGCCAGGCCAACAAGCACACACACAGATCAAATACACGAATGGCATTCTCAGGCAGCCTGAGAAAATCGATAAAATCAGATCGCGACTCTGGTCAGTGAGCACATGATAATGGCCGAGCTTAACATTTAAACAAATATTTGTTTCAAAGGGGATTAAACATAGAAGTATAATATAAATTTCAGATACACTACAGGCATGGCTTGAGAATACCACTTGGAGCACGTAACCGTGGACACAGTATCACCTCACCTGGTAGCAGCACACACTAATTGCAGAATTATTATTTCCCTGCAAAGTTTCTATTTTAAATGACTGAATGAATTTGTACTTACAAAATCTAGAATATTTAAACTATGAGGAACCCACTAGATTAGCAAGTATAATTTCCCTCATTTTCCAAAACCTGAGAGCCACATAGTTTCCTTTTCATACTTTGCTTAACATCAGCATTTAACAACTAGAATTCAAGTCTCTTGACTCTGAGAACTGGTCCTGTTCCAGAGTGCCAGGATCCCATGATCCCACTTGGATTCTGTACCTTGCCCTCAACATATTCATATAAAAGTTAAAATGTAAGTCTATAAAGAGGTCAATGTCCGTCAGCAATGAATCGACCAATAAATCTCACCTATTTTTTAAGTTATCCATCCCAATTTACTTGCTCATTCCAACAGTCTTTTTAAAGAAAGTTTGTTTTTTAGATTTGTTTTGTTATTGTTGTTAAGATGTCCTGCAGTTTAATTTATAAATCAAGGTACAGACGAGGTCTTCTTTATTCTGTAGGTTTAGTAAATATTTTCAGAGGAAGATCATTGTTTTTACTAGCCCAATCATAACATCAGTTATGTGAGATAGAGGATAAATAAGGATACATAGATATCTTCTATCAAATAGGACATTGTTAAAATAGTGCACTTCCACCAGGCATGATAGCACCTGCCTGTAATCCCAGTGACTCAGAAGGCTAAGGAAGGAGGATCCAAAGTTCAAGGCCAGGCTCAGCAACTTAGCAAGATCCTTACTCAAAATAAAAACCAAAAAGGCTGGAGATACAGCCCAGTGGTAGAGCATCCCTGGGTTCAATCCCTGGTACCAAAACAAAACAAAACAATAAACGCTTCCTACCCAGCTTTTCAAAATAAAAATGAGACCCAAAAAAATCCACCTTAAATTTCCTTATCAAAAGTTCTTGCTATAATATTATACATATCTCCTTCTTGCCTTCTAAAGATTTGAGTAGTTCTTTGAGAGCAAACTTTTCAAATGACTCCACAGGGGCTGAGAGTTGTTAGAAAGTAACTGACACCAGGAATCAACTCTGGACTTTTCCTCCCACAAAGGCACTGGGGAAGTAAAAAGTTCCTGGAGTCAAAATCTTAAATACTCATGTGCACTTCGAATGTTGTTGGTTTGGAGTCTTCACTAGTTCTAAAGGTGTTCAAATTAAGGGACTGGGACACCATCAAGGGCCGAGAGTCATCCGTTAAGATCTCCATTGCTTAATTAGCGGGTGCGGCCAAGCCCTCAGCACATTATACTTTGATAAGGGAAAGTAAAATAGTCTCCCAAGAAATTCTATTTGTCAAATACTTTCCACATGGAATTCCAGTTGCAGATATATTTTTGGCAAGGAAACAGCAGGGAGCTGAGAACCTGGCTCATGCCAGCTCTGCGGACTCCAGTGACCAGGGTAGAAAGCCTGGCCTGGAGAAGGCCATGCAAATGTTGGGGGTGCAGTCCGTGGAGGAAGGGCAGGTGCTCCTGAGGCAGGTGCTCTTTAGCTGCCTGGCTCCCTGGCCACTCCCAGACTCCTGGGCAAGGAGTGTTGTGACCCCCGAGAGGTAGAGGTAGTGTTGGAGACAGTGACAACAGGGGAGAGGAGAGGCTGAGACCCTAAGCAGCTGCCCCCTCAGTGTAGTGAACCTGGGTCAACCGTGGCCACCCTAAGGTCCACACACACCAGCCTTCAGAGCAGCTCAGAACCTTCTTGAACCAGATGCTGGTGGCATCTGGAGCACATTAGCATCCCAGAGTGTAGGCTCGGCTGGTGCTCTCAGCCCAGCAGCAGGGGAGGGGGAAGGCGAGCTTGAAAGAAAATCCCTATGATCTATGCAACAACATGGAGGATCTCAAATAACCACGCCAAGGGAAAGAAGTCAGGTTTTAAAAGTTGAGGACATAGCCTCTGATTGCATTGATATAAAACCCTAGAACATGCAGGCTGACCTATAGTGACAGAAAGCAGATCACTGGCTGCTTGAAGGTGAGGGACAGGGTGACAAGGGGGCACAAGGAAACATGGAAACGAGGGGTTCAGGCAGAGGGGAGACGGGCATGCTCACCGTCTGGAAGTGGTGAAGACTTCACGGGCATTTTCATATATCAGACTTACCAAACTATATGCTTTAAGTATGGATGATTTCTTGTCTGTCAAGTGTACTCTCATGAAAAGAGATCCAGAGGCTTAGCTCTCTTGCAGAGAATCTGACTGAGTTGGGCCAGGGTGGGATCTGGGCATCAAAATCTTTAAAGGTCTCCCCAAGAGAGGGGGAAGGGAGGATGGGAGGAAAAAGGGGGATTATGAACCATTGTCAATTTCCATGCATCTATGAATTTGTCAGGGCGAATCCAACTTCTATATGTAACTATAAAGGTCTAATAATAATAATAGAAAATGTTTAAATCAATTAATGAAAAAAAAGTCTCCCCAGATGATTGGGAGTGCAGATTTTAGGTACAGAACCTCATGGCCATAATCAGGACCTTGGTTATATGCAATGATATTGGAAGCCACTGACTCTTGGTAGGAACCCAAGTCAGAAACTCCTCTGCCAGAATTAACATTGTCAAAAATGACCGTACTACCAAAAGCGTTATATAGTTTAATGCAATTCCTATTAAAATATCAATGACATTCTTCATAGAAATAGGAAAAGCAATCATGAAATTCATTTGGGAAAATAAGAGATCCAGAATAGCCAAAGCAATTCTTAGCAAGATAAGTGAAGCAAGAGGCATCACAATACCAGACTTTAAATTACACTTCAGAGCCATAGCAACAAAAACGGCATGGTATTGGCACCAAAACAGACATGCAGACCCATGGAACAGAATAGAAGACACATAAACACAGTTATCTCTTACTAGACAAAGGAACCAGAAATATACACTGGAGAAAAGACAGTCTCTTCCACAAATGATGCTGGGAAAACTGGAAATCCACATGTAGCAAAATGAAATTAAATACCTATCTCTCACCTGCACAAAACTCAACTCAAAATGGATCAAGAACTTAGGCACT